TTGAAGGTTCACAGTTTTAGAAGCCCTAGATAGAATTGGGAGAACTATTGGGCTTCTACGCCCATTGAAATGCACAGTCTTAAAACCCACAGGGGCAATTCTACCCTGTCATATGGGTCAGCCTCAACTTAATGACAGTGAGTAAGAGAGTTAGAGTTGCTTTGTATGAGTCAGAATCAACTCAATGCCAGTGGCTTTGGTTTTGATTTAACTTTGATTTAAGACAGTAAGTTTGAACATTACTGTTCAAACACCTACGTGAGTGGAATTAAAATAAAAAACGGTGGATTGCTACTTGAATTATTTTTTTGTGCCCACGTTTTGAATAGTCATCTATCAGGAGTCAGAAGACATTTCTTTAAAAGGCAAGGTAGTATTTTCATTTTTGTGAGCCACATGTCACCTCACCTGCATACCTTTTGTTTGGGAGGTTGTTTTGTTTACCTTTCTGTTAAGACATCCAAACCCTTCATAGCAGGTAGTTCACGCAACAACTGTCCCCAGGCCACAGCTGGCATGGGCCTCCCAAATCAGTCCCACATGGGCTGCTCTGTGCTGATGAGTAGAGTCAGGAGCTTAGAGCCATCACTAGTGGAAAGCACTTTACTGATGAAAATATCTGAGAATGAATAGTATATGCTTGATGAGCATCAGAAATCGATGTTCTGTAATCATAATTACCGATGTTGAGGGTGTTGCTTAAACCATAAATACAGCTCATCATGCGTATAAAGGTAATGTTGCCTGATTATCTGGACTCATGTTGCTGCATTATTATGTATTGGTGGGATTTTCTTTCCTGTTGCATAAGGAAAATACCCAGATGATGTCTTTCATGAGACTTTATGTCCATAAAAGTCATAAATAAAGGTGAGAGGCCTCTATGGTAGCAGATCCAGACAGTATTCATTCAGAAAATGTTTATTGTGCCAAATACTATTTATGTGTGCCAAATACTGTTCTTTTAGGCAGTTAGGATATAAAACCTCCTACCTCTATGAAGCTTACATTCTTGGGTGAACAAACAACCAAAAATTATCTAAGAAGTGGACCGGGGGTAACTGCCACAGGGATCAAGAGAGCAGGTCGGAGCATGGAAGCGTGGGTAGGTCTGATATGCAAGCACGTGCTCAGCATTTCCGAGCTGCTGGGTTTTCTAACGTCCGTCTTCGTCTCACAGTATTGAAAAGGTAATCAGTGGGGACATGTCCAGGTGAAGGTAGATTCTGACACGGAAGCCGTTTGGGCTACTAACACAGAAGTGTTTAGGTCCCAGGATGTTAACGTTTCCCTAAGGTAGAATGCAAAATATATTGCTTCTCGGCCTTTGGGCTAAGATTAAGTATAGCAAAATATATAATAAAGTAAAACTTTTTTTTTAAACAGCCAAGTCCCAGTAACTAACACAGGAAAAAAAATAACAGTTTCCAGACTCGCTGCCATTTCTCAAAACATGCTTAAATCCCTCTTATGTTGTTATTACTGTTTTCTTTGTTTGGTGTCTGGCACGTTTTTGCAAAGAATGTACTTCTTCAAGCATCGTTCCAGGTAGTGTGCCAATAGTGCTCCTGCCCATGCGTGCCCCACAGCTTGATAATGGAAGCTGTGTCTCATACGGCAGTGATAAATACCACATAGAAAACAAGCTCAGAATACTGTGATGTTGGTATTTGTATTGGACGATATTTGAATTCAGAGACTGGAAGGAGAGAAGCATCAAACTGTCGGATTTGGGCGAGCGGTATAGGAGGAAGTAAGCTGCATAGTTAAGTAGTTCTACAAAGGTGCCTCACAGATACTTGCGTTTGGTTCCTGACCACCACCACGATAAAGTAAATATCACCATAAAGCGGGTTCCATGAATTATTTCAGTTTCCTGATGCCTATGAAAGTTATATTTATGCTACCTTATAAAAGCATATTAAGTTTATGCTAGCTTTATAAAAAGGCTTGAAAGGTAAGAATTGCCGCACTGTGACACGGGGACATGACGTCAGCACAAGTCCACAGTCGACTTGTTCAACCCCAGGTTGCCACAGACTTGCGATTTGTGAAACAAGGCTTCATCTGCCAAGTACACTGAAGTGAAGCACAGTTATGAGGTGCTCCGTGTGGGATGGAGCATCGTTGCATTCTGTTGTACCTACCTACGGCCAACACGAGCTGGAGCTAATGCAAAGGCAACTACACTTGGTGGGGTAAACTAGGATGCCACGATCAGAGGCACTGTTTTATACAGGGGTTCGACTGCCGTGTCCTGAGACACCCTTCCCACCCCGTCAGCTTTGTGGGGGTGTTGCGGTTGTTTAGTAGTCTGTCCTTCCTGGAACTTTTCAGGCCGAACTGAAATATCTCAGCAATAAACCAAGCAACATGCGGTCAACGCTGAGCAAGTTAAAAGGTCTAGAATGCTAGCAATTTGGACATAGTGATCCTTCAACCTGTGTGTTTCTGTGTCTATAAATATGTGTACAGATGAAGCAACTGAAAAGAAGTTTTGTCCTTCCTTGATAATCCTCTTTGAAAATAGGGTCAGTTTGGGTGCCCCTCCCCCCAGAAGAATTTACTTCAGAGGACAGCACTGAAGCTACAGCTCAGGGAGAGGGACATGTCTGATCAGAGCACACAGGAGCAAATGAAGGGGGAGGAAGAGAGAGTGGAGTACATCCTGGCCCACCAAGCCTTGAGGACAATATTCCCACTCAGAGCAGCCAATCCACAGAGAAGAGCATACGGCCTGCCCTACTATGAGACACGACATCCCTCACTGACCCATAGCCAGGGGACAACACTGAAGGCACATTGTGGGAATTGTGCCCAGTCTGACCCCATCACACCGAGGCAAAACACTAAAGGCGTAAAACAGAACAGCAAGCGGAACAGAGCAAGGAAGTCCCAAGGGAATACCCAAAATAGACTTTAGGGCCAGGGTGTGTCACCCCATCAGGCTCGACCGGAAAACACTCCTAAAGGCCAACAAACAGACCTTGAACTATTTACAGGCTTTCCTCTTTTTTGTCATTGGTTTGTTGTCGTTGTTTTGTTTTCTTTTGTTGCTTTGTTTTGTTCTGTCTTGTTTTTGTGCTTATCATTATCTCTGCAGGTCTATCTATCTAGCTGGATAAACAATCTGGAGAAGAAAACAAGGGGGCCAATGGTTCTGGGGGGACATGGGAGAGGGGCAGGCGGGGAAAAGGAAGTGGTGTTAACAAACCCAGGGCCAAGGGAACAACAAGTGATCCAAAATTGGTGGTGAGGAGCGTGTAGGAGGTCTGATAGGGCTTGCTCAAGGGTTAATGTAATTCAGAAGAATTACTGAAACCCAAAGGAAGGCTGAGCATGATAGTGGGACAAGAGGAAAGGAAAAGGAAATAGAGGAAAGAACTAGGAGGCAAAGGGCATTTATACAGGTCTAAATACAGACATGTACATATGTAAATTTATTTATATATGAGTATGGGGAGATCTATGTGCATATCTTTTATAGGTTTAGTATTAGGGTAGCAGATGGGCATTGGGCCTCCACACAACTACTCCCTCAATCCAAAGATACTTTGTTCTATTAAACTGGCATTCCATGATGCTCACCTTCCCAACAGGATCACTGAAGACAAAGCGGGTACATAAGCAAATGTGGTAAAGAAAGCTGATGGTGTCCAGCTACCAAAAGAGATAGCATCTGGGGTCTTAAAGGCTGGAAGATAAAAAGTGGTCATCTAGCTGAGAGGCAACAAAGCCCACATGGATGAAACACAACAGCCTGTGTGATCATGAGGTGTTGATGGGATCAGGTATCAGGCATCAAAGAACAAAAAATCATATCATTGTGAATAAGGGTGAGTGCAGAGTGGAGACCCAAAGCCTATCTGTAGGCAACTGGACATCCCCTTACAGAAGAGTTGTGGGGAGGAGACGAGCCAGTCAGGGTGCAGTGTACCACCGATGAAACATACAACTTTCCTCTAGTTCTTTAATGCTTCCTCCCCACCACTATCATGACCCCAATTCTACCTTACAAATCCGGCTAGACCAGAGGATGTACACTGGTACAGATAGGAACTGGAAACACAGGGAATCCAGGAGAGATGACCCCTCAGGACCAATGGTGAGAGTGGCAATATCGGGAGGGTGGAGGGAAGGTGGGTAGAAAGGGGGAACCGGTCACAAGGATCTACATATAACCCCTTCCCTGGGGATGGAGAACAGAAGAGTAGGTGAAGGGAGATGTCAGACAGTGTAAGATATGACAAAATAATAATAATTTATAAACTACTAAGGGGTCATGAGGGAGGAGGGGCAGGGAAAGGGGGGGAAATGAGGAGCTGATACCAGGGGCTCAAGTAGAAAGCAAATGTTTTGAGAATGATGATGGCAATGAATGTACAAGTGTGCTTGACACAACAGTTGTATGTATTGATTGTGATAAGAGTTGTATGAGCCCCCAATAGAATGATTTTAAAAATGATTTTTTTAAAAAGAAAGAAAATAGGGTCAGTTTATAACATTAACCTCTGTAGATTATGTTAAATACCAGCTTTGAGCCGTGCCTCATCACAGAAAAACACTGTGTTAGGCTGGGTTGTCTAGAGAAACAAAACCAATGATGGTTGGATGGATATATAGAGGGAGATTAGATTGACAGGAAAGAAGTGGGGCAGAAGAGAGGAAAGTTCCCAAAACCTCTCATAGAGAAAGGCCACACATTCCAGGAGGCACCACCAGGCTACCACTTGATTGACACTTTGGAATTCCCCCTACACAGTCCAAGTTGACATAAAATCTAACCACGTCAAACGCAGATGTATTTTCTTGTGTGTGCATAATAAATTTTTTTCTGTTAAAAGACAGAAACCTTTGCCCTTAAACATGTCTTTCTCAATTAGGAAAAGCACTTGGTTGCTGCAGCTTTACATAAAAAAACTTCAGTGTATGTACTTAGTTCTGTGACCTGTCTCTCTTATCCTACTTGTAATTTTTTTTTCTTTTTCACTTTTCCACAGACCAAAAAAGAAGCACCTGAGTGGTCTAAGAAAGTAAAGATGAAGACCTAGTATTTTCTATGTATTTAAAATATTTTGGTTTATTCTGGATATTCTTTTTCTGATGGGGGGGGGAGGAAGCTTACCTTAATCATGTACCCAATATTTTTCATGATTAATTTTGTTTATCTTAATTGACTATTAAATCAACATATTTTGGTATAATAATAAAAAAATTTAAATTCAAACGATAGTATATTTTCTATTTGGTTTTCTTTATTTTGATACAGAAGGAATAAAATATGCTGTACTTATGGCTTTAATTTTAGAGCTTTCCTGATAGCTCAGTACATTTCAAAGTGTGTATTGTTTAAGTATATTTAAGGTGACATAGTTACTTTTTAGACTATATAAAATCAAAGTCTAAAATGTCATAAAAAATGCTAAGCTAGTTTACATTTTAAAATAAGAATGATTGGTAAATGCCTTCACGAGAAGGCATGTTGGGTGAATAATAATGGTGTTCCAGGAGCCCCAGTGGTGTAGTGGGTTACACGTTGGTCTGCTAACCACGCACACGTAAGCAGTTTGAACCCAGCAGCCACTCAGCAGGACAAAGATGAGGCTTTCTACTCCTGCACAGGTTTGAAGCCTCAGAAACCTACAGGGTCACTGCGAGTTAGCATGGGCTCGATGACAGAGAGCAACGGTATTCAGAATCATAGCCTTGAATGTGGACTAATGTCCTGAGGACTCTCTTTTTTCTTATATTTCATATTATCGTTAACCAATAAAATTTGGTGGAAAGTCTGCCGTACCACTGGTCAACTCAAAATGTAGTGGGAAATCTGTTGTAAAATTGGTCAAAGTAATGCACATCCCGATACAGTATGGACAAAATTTCTTGTCATTAATTATGTTCTCTTTTACATTGAAGGCCTGTCATTTAAAAGAAGGAGGCAGGAGTGTGGGTGTGGGTATATTTTTTAGCCTGGCATGTACAAGGGTACATTAAAAAGCATTGCTAAGAGTCTGGCTAGACCAGAGGATGTACACTGGTACAGATAAGAACTGGAAACACAGGGAATCCAGGGCGGATGATCCCGTCAGGATCAGTGGTGTGAGTGGC